AATACGCACCTGCTATGAAATTTAATTGAATAATTTATAACAACAAAGGATTAAAACGCTATCAGTCTCGCAAAGTGTTGGCTAATGAAAACAAATGATTCACTCGTTTTTGTTAAATTCTTTTGTATGAATAGATGGGAAATGAAGATAAATAACGAAGGGTTTTCATTAGAAGAGTTGCGAAATTGATATTGGTAGGTATATGTATACCTATAGGTTACTCAATCTTGTAACTTCGTCTATGCATCTCTGTCTCGCGAATGCAATTTATTTTCTTGTCAAATTTCATCGAAATCTGGTCGGAGGTTAAAGCGTGAAATAGTAACAGACAGATTTCTTCCACTTTCCTTTTCCATTAAGGCATCAGCTGAGCTACCTTTCTTTTGACATACTATAATTAAAAAACTGAAGGTACTGTTGTTATTTTATCTAATATATTTAAACGAGCATTTTTTGTATATTTATTTATACCGGCGATCTCGGAAACTGCCCTTACGATTTCGCTGAAATTTGGTATGTGTGTAGACTATTCTTATGTCTGGGAAAACGCGTGTTTTCAAATTTTTATGAGGTTTCCTTTTGTATTATTCCACGCAAAATATGATCGCTAATTTCGCACGCTCGGGAATAAGCATCGTGATCAAGCGGCTACGACGCGAGATTCACCATCAAAGGTATCCGGGTTCGCATCCCGGTCGGACACAAAGTTTTTACTTGTTTTTTTGTATTTAATTAAGTTTTTTGTTTATTTTAATCTAAAAATACGATATAACAAAAAAGAACTCCGAGCGAAGCTCGGTCACCCTGGTACTTACAATGAATAGTAATAAATGTCGTATTTTTTATCTTATTTTTACACTGTATTTACCAGAACATGTTTCATTTCATATACTCTGCATATTTTTTAAATATATTATATCCCTAATCAATATTATAGAAAAGTTAAATGAAATATCATAAATATGTTAGTGGTGTCTTGTTAGAGAATACTAACCAATACCTAAGAAGAGATACTTGCTTCAAGTGCAAGGAGAGTCCGTCGTGCGTCTGCGACCCTGGATGTCCAGAGTCTGCCCTCCACGTTCTTTTAGAGTGCCCGGTACACGATAGAGACAGATATTATTTAGAAGCACAAATCGGACTAAAACTAGATAAAAATGCACTACCAAAAATTATGAAAGACAATAAAAAAAGAGATAAATTCCTGCAATACTGTAAAAAATTATGTAAAACTGTAAACAATAGAAATAAGAGTTATAAATAATATGTTAAACAAATATAGTATAATATATTAGTGGTAACATATATAATGTATAGTGTATAAAAAGGATAAGTCTAATAATAAGAGCATATATAAATAAGCCTAAACTATAAATAAAAATTACCGACTACCCCCAATTATTATCCCCGTGTTACATAGTATAAGAACAAAGAAACTAAATAAAATAGATAGATAGATAGTTAGGAACGAATGCGGATTAATGATAGAAAGACATAGTATGCGGAATGAAAGTGCGAGAAGCATAAAAGCGAGAACTGGTATGAAAGAAGTAGAAAACACAGACTCCTTCCCCCATGTTGGAGGCTCAGGTTAAAAAAAAAAAAAAAAAAAAGAAGAGATACTTTCAAACCACTTTTCCTCTGCCGTTATAATTATAGGCGATTATAAGCTATACGTACGGCCATAAAGCATGTTGTATGTGTGTTTACTAAATTTCTTTACGAAATTAATTATAAAACTAACTTTTATCTTTCTTACTAATCATAGTTCTTTTTACGCTAACAGAATGATGTTAACTTCTAAGCAAATAAACTTGAAAATATTCTAACAGAATCGTGTGTAATTACTAGGAACTGCTACCTTTGCTCGTCTTTGTAATTCTATTCAGTCTACAATCACTTAAGTTAAGCCTTGGTATATGTGAGAGTGAATGTGCTCTCAAGCTGTGTCTATGGTTTTGATAGATATCTCTTCTTATATATTAAATTGATGAAGTTATATTAGCTTACTTAGGTATATTCTAACTTGGAATTTTTTTTGCTAGTTGACCTTAATTCGGGTGTACTTTTTATATATGCTACGTAATATTTTTAAGTTTGCTTATATTTTAATTAATTTATAATATCTCAAGGAAACCCAGAAACTTCAAGATTAATTCCACCTCTAATTTAAAAATATACAATAGTAGTCTGCATAACTTGTACTTCCTTTATAGTTTAGCAAATTATTCATTAAATATTCAATACAAAAAAGATAAATTCTAAAACTATACTGGCTTTTATCCCAACTTTTTTAATATCCGTACATTTAAATAAAAATCGGTCAAGTGCAAGTCGAATTCGCACACAAAGGGTTACGTACCATCGTACATGTGCTCTTTATTAATATGACTTTTATTCTATGTATGTAATATATTAATTTCGCTAAACGATTACGAATGTGAAAAAAATATTCTTGTATTTTTATTGTTGTTTATTTATTTTTATTATTTGTTGTTATAGCGGCAATAGCTGTTGTTATAACACACTCTGTGAAAATTTCAACTCTCTACCTAATACGCTTCATGAGTTACAGCCCTCTGACAACGGATGGACGGACGGATAGCGGAGGCATAATACCAGGGTTTCGTTGGCACTCTTCAGGTACGGAACCCTAAAAACTATTCAATGTTTATATTATACCTGCTTTTTAAAATTATTCTTCTTAAAATCTTTCCTAAGTGGAATTTCGTGTAAGTAATGAAGTAAATGAGGCTGCTCCAGCTCTATTAGTACTAAAGATGAGTTTAAAATAAATAAGCATTTTAAAATTTTACGTGTTTTTATTTCGTTTATTAATAATGTTTTTTTATTAATAAAGATTACAGTTCCAATAACTTACGAATAATACTCCCGTAACAATTTTTTTACCAATAAATATTTTGATAATGATAGTTGTTTAGTATTTTTTATATGGCATCATCTTAGGTCGGGTTTGAAATGACAGTGATCATAGAAATACATAGTTCTTAATATTTTTAAGGCAATACTCAGCTTGTAGCTTATTTATTTTATTTAATGTTTCCATTATTTTAAGGGAATTATATTAATCACAATTAGGATCTTGTATTTTTTATTTTTTGCAATAGTACAAAATATTTTAATGTCGATTGTAATGCATGGCAGAATATTTATTTATATAATTATTATAATCTATACTTATAATAAAATTCGAGAGAGTCGAATCTGTACATTAAATATTTTTTGGAGAATCTTATTGAAATAGTAATTATTATCGATATAGAGGCCGAATCTATACTTTTTAATTTTTTTGTCTGTCTGTCGAGGAACGCATCACGAGAAAACCGCTGGACAGATTTTGATGAAATTTGGTATAATGATAGCTGGTTATCTGGGTCAACATATAGGATACTTTTTACTGTAAGAAAACATCTTATCTCTGCGAAATCTAAACTAATCCTCAAAAAGTACATACGTCGCTAATTAAGTACTTGAAACAATTTTAAAATATCAGTATTTTGACTGTCACTTACTTGGATCTTGTGTTGTGTTATCAATTTATTCTTGTTTTAAAGAGACAGAAATAAATGATTTAAATAATGAATAAATTTGTCATCGCAAAATGTCAGGTCGAATAATATTTGGAACAAGGTGAGTTTGACAATGATAGATAGTTGACGCTTATGTGTAAGATTGGTAATCGTTACTAATATAGTAAAATATTCAGTTGTCTTCTCCATTCTACGTGATATTGGCAAATTAATCTTTGCGTAACTGGCATAAGCGTTTTGAAACCATTAACAAGAAAATTGAATTGAAATATTTAGTATAAACCTCAAATATCATGGAAAGTAGCCGTAGTGTCCAACAAACACATATCGTATCGTAAATAATATTATCATTGTAATCAAAAAATCTCTTAAATATAATGAAAATCATTATAGTCAAATAATCATTATTTTAAATACACTTTCGAAAATATCTTATAAATCCAAAAGTCTCGTCCCATTTTTAATAAATTATTTTAACCTAAAAGTTATAAGTTTAACGTGTGTGTCACTGTGTATCTGTCTGTGGCATCTTATGGCTCAAACGGGTGAACCGATTTTAAATTAGTTTGTCTTTGGTTTGAAAGACGAGTTTATCAAGAGTGTTCTTAGCTATAATTCAAGAAAATCTGTTCAGCCGCTTGCATACTGTCAACTCTTTTCTAGACAGTAAAAGGATATGAGCAGCTTTCACAAATCTAATCGATTTGAATCTTGGGATCCCATTACTTTAATAACATTGCAATGGTATGGTGACCAAGGCCTGACGCTGCAAGTTCACCTGTAATCTGCTTCTTAACTCTTTACAATACTGCATAGATATCGTGTTTAAACTCAATGAAATGACCTCAATGAATAGGTCATTGTGTCGGCGTTTTTATTTTTATTTTTTATTTAAAAGTTGCTGCTATCTTTCACGTCATACAAAAATTCTATAGAAAAAATCACTATCAGTTTCTCTTGAATTTCCTAAAATTTTTATGGTTTTTTCCCTTAAAATCTTATTCATACATATAATTTTAAAAACAATATTAGGCAAATCGATCTAGCCATTCTTAAGTTATGCACTTATCAATGAACAGGATTTCAGATACTAGGTAGCAAAGTTTGGTTTAAAAAAATTATTTTCTTTTTTTTATTAATAATTTTCATATTCATAATATGTAATGTTATAAATTATTTTAATGTATACAAGTAGATATTAAGATTTTATTTTTGTACCTGCCCTCTAGATAATGGATATCACAACACGTCTACTTACTAGTTTTACATTCTAGTGAATGAAAGTTTCCTGCTTACGACATACCTCTCTTTAATTCTAATAGATGGCTCTGTACCGGATAAAGGTAAATAAAGATATCTAAAGGATATTTTTTAATTCTTAATTTTAATTAAGCTAGCTGTACATACTACTTCAGTAGATAAATCATTAAAAAAATTAAAAATGGGCTAGGGAGACATAGGTTTGTGGTATGTAAAGCACAATTCAATCAGTTCTAAAGCTGCCTTCTGTGATTCTTCGCGAATATCTTGAATATATATGTCAACTATAGGTAACCGATTGGTAAAATTAGTTTTCATCTTTATGTTAGCCGATTCCCATGTGTCTTTGGCCTGTGAAATGAAAAAAAAAATGAAATATTTGTAATAGCTTAACTAACGATGGGTATATTTTTTATAATTGAAGCGTTTTGCACGTTAAAACATATAAACTCAAAAGTACATACATACATTTCAGCTTTCTGCTATATTATAGTTATAGTTTAAAATTAATAGGGTAATTAATTTCTATTTCAAGCACAAAGTTATGAGCAACAGACGACGAATATTCAACGAGCTGTCGACGTTTGCTAGCGCGCTTGTATTGTTAGACAAACGAAGTATTTAAAATTCATTACAATGTAGGTTCTACTACTATATAAATGCAAAATTTTGGATGGATGGATGTATGTCACTCAGTCACGGCAGAACGGCTGAACGGATCTGGATGAAATTGGGCACAGAGATAGATTATAGTCTGGAACAGCACACAGACTACTTTTTATCCGGGAAAAATGCACAGTTCCCGTGGGATAGACTTGTTTTTGTGTTTCTCTAGGAACGAACCCGAGCGAAGCGAGGGTGAGCCGCTAGTATAGTGTAAAAGCTTGTATAGAAATTCATACTGTGAACTTAGAAGCATTGAAATTGATATTTAAGCTTCTCCTTTTACTGCTGATTGTAAAAGCTCATCGGGGTTTTTGTCACTAGTTATAAAAAATGTATAAATGTCAGTATATTACTTTACCTTGGCACACTTATTTTCGTCGACTTCATAATATATTGGCGATTCACGTGTGGCACTTTTTTCTACTAATTGTCCACTCCATAGAGATAGTGACAACGCTTTACTTGTATTTGTTGAAGGTATCACTTCAGTATTATAACAGTGATATTTTAATGTTTGTCTGACACTTGTTGACTGTGATAGAAGATATGCCATTTGTGATTCTTGGATCTAAAACGTTTTCGAACATTAAAGCATACATTATGTTCCACAGAGAAATAAAATTATTTAAAAGTCCACGTATATCTTTGATATTTTTAATCTGCCAAAGCCTTGAAATAAGTACGAGTATATACTTGGTTAATTTTGTACATACATCTAACATGATTATTTGCAAATTGTTTCTACGTTTATAAATCACATTTTTAATAACTATGGGAACGTAACCAAATATCAGTTTTATTTTAGATTTTTTTTAAAGATTACATTTTCATGTTTAACACCTCCAGGTAAACTTCTAAGAAATCTATTGTTAACTGACACGCCGGCGTGTCCGCGGTCGTGGAGGGATCAAATGCAAATAATATGCGAATTACTGTTCTTACTCCATATAACTCCTTAAAATCGAGATTCCACCAAAACGGCTTTTTGTCAAAAGATTTTGCTTTCTCTTTCTCCTCTTCTCCATCTTCCTCATCAATATCTTTTTCAGAACTTTTCTTTTGTAAACACATTTCTCCCCTAACACAGTCAATAATAAACGGATTTGAAGGATTGATATGATATGTACCTGCAATAATTTAAACTCTTATAAAGTATACATGGGAAATACAATTTAATTTTAAATGAAACTATCTTTTCACATTTTTTCGGATTTATTTTGATTTTTGGTTGGATGCTGTACAGCATTCAATACGTCGGGAACCATAAATCTAAATAAATCCACGAAAAAAAAAACCCAAAAATGTAAGAAAAGATTTTCGTACAATTTAATGTTAATTTTATTATTATAATATATTTATGAAATTATATATTTAAAAAATAAATAAAAATGAAAATATTAATTTAATTAAAAAATTAGTAGATAAGTGTTTTATACCGTCTTTACTTAGTTGAGCACAAGATATGGCAGGTTTTGCACTATCACCCGGATTTGGTGTCCCCACTTCTGGTCCTGGTAATTCTGGAATATATATATATATATATATATATATATATATATATATATTTACATAATTTTAAATAAAGTATGTACTAGTGAAATCTATACATATAATAAAATTCTAACTAAGCCAAATCTGTACATTGAATATTTTTTGGAAAATCTTATTAAAATAGACATTATTTTCGATACAGAGGCAGAATCTATAATTTTTAGAATCTTTGTCTGTCTGTCTGTTATCGTATCACGGAAAACCACTGGAGGGATTTTGATGAAATTTGGTATGGTGGTAGCTGGATATCCGTGTCAACATATAGGATACTTTTTACCGCGGAAAAATGTCCCATTTCTGAGAAAAAATACAAAAACTGCAATGTAAGAGTATACTAAAATGTAAAACCTAAGAATTTGGTTTTTGGTCATCTGAAAGTGGGCGGAGCCGCGGGCAATGCTAATATTCTATATATTCATAATAATGAATCTAGTATAATAATTAAATAAAAGTAGTTCATTTGGTCTACATTTAAACATTAACTAAATAAGGAAATAAATTCATACTAATGTTATAAATGTGAAAGTTTGTGAGTATGAATGGATTTTTGCTACTCTTTGACGCCAGAACGGCTGTACGGATTTGGATGAAATTTGGCGCAGAGATAGATTATAGTCTGGAATAACACATAGGTTACTTTTTATCCCGGAAAATGTAGGGTTCCCGTGGGATAGATTTGTTTGTGTTTTTCTAGAGGCGAACCCAAACGAAGTGAGGGCGAACCTCTAGTTTGAAATAAATGTGATTTCAACGATTTTGTTATTTCTGCGCCGACCTATTAGAGTAAACTTCATTAATATTTTACTAACATAATACTTAAAAAAACAACCGCTTTTATGAATTTATGATAACAGAACAAATAATTTTACATTTAATTTGACTAGCCCAAACAATTATTATAATATATTTTAATAAATCGAGTAAACACAAACGTATTTCATTTATAAACCTATTTCTTTACTAAAGTATTTTTGGAAGTCGGTTAAAAAGTGCAAAAGAGTAGAGTTTGCTATTTGAAAATAAGCTTTGAAGACATTTTGTTTTGTCATAATCGCCGTTTGCAAGTGAAATTTATAACTTTATAGCCCATTATTTTATTAAATTATATTTTCGTTAAACTCTTATAGTATCCCTATTTTAAAACAAAATTAATAATTTTTACCTTAGATTTAAAGAATAAAAAAATAAAATGCAGATTATAGTAATCGAAGCCTAAACCGTAATGGTATTGGTATAATATAATACCTACCATATACCTATTAATGACGTATTTCAATAAAAACATCAAGAGAGTATTAAATATTATTAGTTTTTTTTTGACATTAACAGCTTGGATCAGTTTCGTTTACTTTGTTCTGTCATATCTTCTTAGTTCGAGTTGTTTTACATACCATCAGGAGGAGTACAGTCTTTTCCTGCAGGTCCAACATCGCCCTTCATGCCCTAAGTGCAAAAAATTTTACTTATTAAAAATATTATTTTTTTGGGGAAAGGAACATTTGGGTATAAAAATTATATAATGATAATATTATGTATATATTCCAGGGATATGTTTATTACTAAAAGAACGATATTTTATTGTATGAATCACGTTTATTTCACATTCTACACTGGTTTTTATTATATTAAAGTTATTATAAAACAGAACAAATTATCTTTTACATCAACTTCCATATTAGCCATAGAGTATAGACTATATTTCTTACACCATAAACAACCTTTTTTTATTTTTCCTAATAAATCAAAGACATTATTCCTTACTCTCTAACACCTTCTCCTATTTTTAAATTTTTATATTCTTAACATGAAAATTAAAAAATATATACTTATACAATTTTACTTCAGTAACATCAATAATTTTAAAATATATACTTATACACTTTTACTTCTTTGCTTTTACTCTATAATTTTACTTTACAACTTTTTCACAATGGAACTTAAACTTATCTCTATACAATGGTTTTGTAAACATATCAGCAATCTGTAAATTAGTAGGACAATATTTTATATCTAAATTACCTTTCTTATAATTTTCATGAATGAAATAGAACCTTACATCTATGTGTTTTGACCTTTTACTGAATGAACCTGTTTTAATTAACTGGATAGCACTCTGATTATCAATATTTAAACTTATTTTAACACTATTTCCAATTAACTCACTTATAAAAGTCTTTAAATATAAACACTCTTTAACACAATCTGCAGCTGCTATATATTCAGCTTCAGTTGAAGATAGACTCACTATCGGTTGTCTCTTGGAGCACCAAGATATGGGTCCACTTGATAGCATTATTATAAATCCCGTTGTACTGCGTCTGGTCTCAGTACATCCTGCATAGTCTGAGTCACAGTATGCATGTAATCTTGTAATGTCTTGTCCGGTGTTGTACATAATTCCTTTATCTCTTGTCCCATTCAAGTATTTCAATATCTTCTTTACTGCTAATATGTCTTGTCTCAATGGATTTTCTACCTTTTTACTTGCTTCATTCACAGCTTGGCTGATGTCTGGTCTTGATCGGGTTGATAAGTACAGTAATCCTCCTACTAGTTCTCTGTATGGAAAGTTTGATGTAGTCGTCTCAGGTTCAGTTACCTTCCCCACACTGCATGGTGTATCTGCTGGCTTTGAATCAAACATATTGTACTTTCTTAGTAATTTTTCTGTATAGGTCTGTTGATGTAATAAAATTCCTTTTTCTGTTCTTCTGATTTCAAACCCAATATAATTTTGTGGTTGTTTATAAATCTTTATCATAAATTCCTTTTCTAAGTGATATAGGATCTGTAATAATTTATCTTTTTCTTTAGATATAGCCAAACCATCATCAACATATATCGCTATTATTATAGTCTTGTCCTCATTAGTAAAAACACACTGATCTGACTTTGTAGCTCTTAGTCCAAGTTTTCTCATAGTTTCTGTAAATTTTTTATTCCATGTTATTGGTGCCTGTTTTAGCCCATATAATGCTTTCTTTAAATGACAAACTTTATTGTGCTGTTTTTCATATCCATCTGGGATGTTCATAAAGATGTCTTCTATTAATTCACCATATAAAAATGCTGTTTTTACATCAAAAGTAATCATCTCATATTCCTTTGAAGCAGCAATTGCTATCAATGATTTTAATTCTGATAGACTTACTACTGGACTATATATCTCTTGATAGTCAATGCCTTGTTGTTCAAAACCTCTTACTACAAGTCTTGCCTTGTATATACCATTTTCTTTTATACTAAATACCCATTTATTTGACAGTATCTTGTGTCCCTTAGCTTTTTCTAAATCAACTATTTCCCATGTATTGTTACTTTCCAAAGATTCCTTCTCCGAATTGATGGCCTTCTCCCAATTCTTCTTCTCAGCAGACTTCATGGCTTCATCATAGGTAAGTAATACATAATCTTGTAGGTAAGCTGGTTTTTTCTTTTGTCTTATTGTATTTCTAGTTTCTATCTCTTCAGTGTTATTTTTTACATTTTCATTAATTTCAACTTCTTTTTCTATTATTTCTGGGACCTTGTCTTCTGCCTCATTACTTTGTAGTTCTAACTCCTGTGTTTCATAATAGCTGTCATCACTTTCTTCTTCTTCTTGATTTATTTCTTCTTCATTACCTGATATTATTTCTGTTATTGGTAATAACACCTTCTTGTTTCTTCTTCTTTTTCCTCTTTATTCTTATTATTATCATTAAGTATGACAATATCCCTTGCTATTTCAATCCTTTCTTCTTCTTTATTCCATAGTCTATATCCATTGTTAGTATATCCAATCATTATTAACTTTTTACTTCTTGGGTCTAGTTTCTTTATATTTGTATGTAGTTGTTTAGCATATACTTTTGACCCAAACTTGTGTATGTTAGATATATTAGGTCTTTTTCCATTCCACATTTCGTAAGGTGTTTTATTTTCCAAAGATTCACTAGGTAGTCTATTTATAATATAAGTAGCACAGAATATAGCTTCACCCCACATATCTTTATCTAATTCTGAATCAAATAGTAATGCTCTGGTTTTATCTAATAATGTCCGATTTAATCTTTCTGCCTTACCATTTAGTTGAGGAGTGTATGGTACTGTATAATCTAGTTTTATTCCCTTTTCTGTGCACCATTTTCTAAAATCATTGCTTGTGTATTCACCCCCATTGTCACACCTTATGGTAGACACCTTTTCTGTTCTCTCTCTTTCTGTTTCTTCTATATAATGTCTTAAATTCTCTTTCACTTCATTTTTATGCTTCAGCAGGTAGATTTTTGTAAAATGGGTGTAGTCATCCATGACTGTTAAGACATAACTATAACCATCATATGTTTTATTTTCAAATGGTCCACATATATCTGTATGTATTAATTGTAATGGTCTACTGGCTCTGTTTCTTACTGTTTTAAATGGAAGTCTTGTTTGTTTTGCTTGTGTACAGATTTCACATGTATCTAATTGTTTTAAACCTTTTATTTTTATTCCATCTGCCACATCTGGTAATATTTCTAGTATTTTCTTTCCTGGATGTCCTAGTCTTTGATGCCATTCTAAGGCAGTGCCATGTTCTTTCATTAACAATGTCTTTTGTGCAATATTTTTCCCATCTAAATTAATTTTATATAAGCCATTTTCCTTTTTTCCTGTTAATAGTAATTCTGACTTCTTATATATTTTTACAGTATCTTTAGTAAACACGACAGTTCCTTCATTATTGGTAACTGCATTCACGGACAACAAATTCTGTGATAAGTCCGGAACGAACAGGGTATTATTTAAATTACATTTTTCACCTTCAATTTTTCCAATTCCCTTTACTTCTATTGTTTCTTCATTTGCAGTCAAGACAGATGATGACTTATTTTCATAGTTTGTTAATATGTCTATATTGTTGGTCATATGTGCAGTGCACCCGGAGTCCACAACAAATTCTTTCTTTTGTGTTGTCTGTTTTTCAAACTTTGTAAAAAATGCCTTTTCGGTTTTATTCTTATGTGTTTCTTGTTTCTCTTTCTTGTTTTTAGTTTTAAAAAAACAACTTTCCTCTTTATGGTTTGTTTTCTTACAAATGGAACATTGTTTATTCTTTAACTTACAGTCTTTTTCTTCATGATTATTCCTTTTGCAAATACTACAGGCTTTACAGTCTTTCTTCATGTGACCACTTTTATTGCATTTAAAACATTTAATTGTACTTGAAGCATTTTTCTTTGTAGCCTGAAATGCCAACTGTTTTTCTGTTTCACTGCTTTTTAATATTCGGGTTTCTTCAGATAATATTCTATTTGTTAAATTAGTTAGGGTTTTCTTGTCATCTGCCATTGATTTCCAAGCAGTAATGAAGTAGTTTAGGTTACTTGGCAAACAGGATAATATTTTTGACATAACCATTTGTTCGTTAACGTTTTCACCCAACTGATTCAGTCTAAACTGTAGATTTTCTATGTCACTTATTAGTTCACTAAGTGATCGATTTCCTTGTAATTTATATGTGAAGAACTCTTGTAATAATGATGCCTTGTTTCTTTGTTCAGAGCCTTCAAATATGTCACATAACTTGGTGTACATTTCTAGAGCATTTTTGCATTTTAAAATGTGCCCTTTCAATTTCCTGTCTATACTGTTTATTATAATTCTTTGCACCATGGCATCTTTTGTGATGAATGCATCAGATTTCTTATCTTCTTCTTTAACATTTGACGAAACTGCTGTAGTCAGATTTGCCGCCTTTATGTAGATGTTAAACTCAAATTTCCATAATAAAAATGTCTCCCCATCCTTCAGTTTTTCAATCTGAGCATCTCCTTTGTCCATCTTCCTTTATATTATTTTATTTTTCTTTTTCAGTTAGGTACTTGGTCTTATTCTTGGCTTGGGTCACGCCACCGGGTTTTATTAATCGTTCTTTAGGGCGTCTCTGGGCCCATAACCTATTCCAGGGATATGTTTATTACTAAAAGAACGATATTTTATTGTATGAATCACGTTTATTTCACATTCTACACTGGTTTTTATTATATTAAAGTTATTATAAAACAGAACAAATTATCTTTTACATCAACTTCCATATTAATTATTAGCTATAGAGTATAGATTATATTTCTTACACCATAAACAACCTTTTTTTATTTTTCCTAATAAATCAAAGACATTATTCCTTACTCTCTAACAGTATATATCGAAGCAACATTAATTTTCTCTATTATTTTCCATTATTTTATCATGACTTATACAGTGGGCGTTATATGGGAAGTGTTGGTTCAAATAAAAGTCGTTGCAATCAAAGTAGTATTTCAAATTAACAATAATCACTTTGTACATAGTTACACAGCATTTCACTACACAACCATATAGCAAGCACTTCACTACACAACCATATACCACTTCACCATTACCACGTATAGACAATACGGAACGCAAGACAGTTTCTACTAGTGTTCACTGTGCGACCGACCAAGCGTAACTCCGCCGAGCCCGGTCGAGTGTCACGACGTAGACTGTCGAGCCCAAAAAGGTGGCGCTCGCGTTCCGATTAGTTGTGATTATGACTCGTCTCCGACATATATTTTAAGTTTTTTATAGTTAAATGTCTAATATATTTAACTACATACATTACATATGTAATAATAATAATAAAATAATAAAAACTCTTTATTGCACACACTACATAGGAAGAAATATAAAAAAAAAAAGAAGAATACAGTAGTAGCAAAATGCACAAGAGGCGGCCTTATCGCTAAAACAGCGATTTCTTCCAGGCAACCTTTAGGTGTAGGATATAGCAAAGTGTGAATTGGAAGGGTGTGAACAAATAACAGAGATAAGAAAAATAAAAATGATAAATACATATATACATACATATGATATTTTATATACGTATATATAAAATATATAAATTAGGTATACGTAACATATGTACATAGGTAGGTACATGTCCGCTCAATCACACATCGCCGTACATGTTACAAACATAACTTACTAACATTTCTCCGATCGAAGATGATGTATAATTGCTCTGCTGCTAAGTTTGATATCATCCCCTATTTTCTACCCCCGAGGAAGATTTTGAATTAGAATAATTGTAAACTTCAATCAGAAAAATTTAACGAAAACAAGTTTTACGCATTCCATTCCTCCTTACAAACTTTCCTCTATGGGGGGTTGAGTTTCCGAAAAAACCCTATGAAGAATCTACCTGCCTTATCTATACTAATATTATAAAGATGTAAAGTTTGTGAGTTTGTGACTTTGTAAGGGGGATATTTCTACATTTACTGTACCGATTTAGACAAAATTTAGTAAGAATATAGTTTGACACACTGGGAAGAACAGAACACTGGGAAATCATTCCTTCAGGAGGTGAAAATGGGGATGAAATTTTGTATGGGGAATCAACCTAGTTCATATGTACGAGTAAATCCATTTCAATTATAACTTTTCTCGTACTCCTTATGTTGGAAATGTATACTAATTTGTGTTATAGTATTTTTATATTTTCATACCTGTAATCCAGGAATACCACGATCTCCCTTTTCACCACTATCTCCTTTGGCACCTTGTGGACCTCTGTCTCCAGTAGCACCAACCTCACCACGGTCACCTTGTGGTCCAGATATACCCTTTTCCCCAAAAATACCAAATTATGTATTTACACATTAGGTATATTTAAACCGTACTTAATTAAAGTTCAAATAATACTAATTTTATCCACAAATTTTGTGCAACTATTGTTATATTAACAATTGTATTCGTTGCTAGTTTTATACTGTGATTAATAATACTCGTAGTATCCCTAGATTTTATAATATAATATAATTATTAATAAATAGCAAAATATTATAATTAAGATACTGAACTAAAAATTATTTTCAAACTACTTCGGATATTTACCGTTTTTTAAGGAGTATTAGTTATTTTTATTAATATTAGCCATTAATATAAATTATTCTTAATAATAGGAAAAAACCCAGAATGCACAATAGTAAAGGCATTTCATAATTCATGGCGCATAGAAACTCAATATTTTCGAAATACAAATATTACAAACCTTCAAGCCGCGCTCTCCAGTATCACCTTTTACCCCTTTCTCTCCGCTTAAACCTTGTTCACCTTTGTGTCCCTTAGGACCAGGCTCTCCAGATTCACCTTTGACACCCTGAATACCCTTTACCATAAAATAATAACCTATATTTAATTGTATTCTAATAATTGTATTTTGTTAACGAAGGGGTGAACTTTTTTCATAGTAGGTATTTGAATATGTGAGTTTCTAGAATAATTGAGTTTACTTAAGTCCAGATTCTCGCATTATAAACATCGATCGTTTTAAACATAATTTACATCAACAAAGGACGATGAAGTTATGTGGGTGAAGTCCATCAACCCGTAATTGGCGAGCGTATAGACTATGGCCCGATTTCCCTCATCTTGAGGACTGGCTCGTTCCCAGCAATGAGATGCTAATTTATTTTATTAATATTAGGAATTCGTGAACTTAGTTTTATTAAATTTGTTTGATATTATGTTTTTTTTCTATAGATAAGTTGATTTCAGTTCGAGGGCAAAACAACCCCTATACTCATAATAACCAAAGAAGTGAATATTGTCTCTAGTCTATAATACTCTTCTAATCTAGTCATAGTTAAATTTCTCAAACTTCTGTGAATCTGTCTCACTCTTAGACAATTTTTTTACTACCAGTGTCGTGACCTGGAGTAACACATGGGGTATTGTTTGACACTTCTGTCTGGCATTCAAGCAAAAACAATCAACAACAAACAGCGCAATCAATTTATTTTTAATATATTCATAGAAAATATTTAAAAATACTTAGGTAACATTGATATAGGGTATATGAATGATACGCGGTATGAAAATATATTAGTCCCATCAGAATACAAAAATAACTTTTAACTAGTGTACTTTTTTTTAATTTTGTTTATCGAACATACCTGTAAACCACTTTCTCCCTTGTTACCTATTTCTCCTTTATCTCCTTTTAGACCTGGTTCTCCTTTTTTTCCCGTTACACCTGGTGGTCCAGTTACACCTATTAGACCTGGTATGCCCTTAATTCAAAAATTAAAATAAATTAATATGATACAATTTAATAGTTAATTAAAATATTTTTTTAGAATACAGTAGAAAAAGTCATTACTCAGACAAATGATATTTGTGACTTTTTATAATTTTACATCTCCTAGATATGCTCACATGAGCGTCAAGCATGTTTGAAATAAATTTTAATTTTATTTAAATAAAATAAATTGCTTAAATTAAAAAAAAAAGATTTTAATTACAATAACATTTCAATTTGTTCATTTCCTTACAAACTTTCCAATCCCTGGCCACTATTAGAAATAAAATAGAGAATATCTTAACAGAAAAACTTCGTAATTAAACTTGGCCTGGGGACTCGAACCCAGGACCTCCAACGGATCTGCAAATGTACAAACAAGCCACTAGTCCATCGATTTTATACATATATACTTCCAACATACCTGTAGCCCTTTAATACCCGGTTCACCCTTTTCCCCTCTTTCGCCTTTTATACCCTGGTCACCTTTGTCTCCTTTGTCACCATGCACTCCAGATTCGCCTTTTATTCCAGGTATACCCTATTACATAAAAAGAAAATAATTAGAACAAATGAATTGTATGAATTTCAAAGAAACTAAGTTTTATTATCAACGCATAAAATGTAGAATGAAAAAAATGTATGTAGTACATATTTTGTATTTAATATTTTACTTATTTTTTGCTATAACATAATTCTTTTCAAGGTTTTAAATATGCTATACGCATGGACAGAGATTCAAAATAATACGAGGTGAGTAGGGTTTGGTATTGGAGTATAATTTGAAGATGAGAGAACAAGTCACCATAGCATAAAACCCTAAACCAATACAATCTGCAGTAAAGCAAACTATCTTACAACCAAACTTGCTAATAAATAGTATTGACGATATTAATTTTATTTGTAATTCAAAAGTTTTTTTTTTTGAAATAAAGGTTTTAGTAAAATGAAGAAAGAGTTTATAGAAACAACAAAAAATTTTTTTTACTAATGTCAAAATCCTTTAATCATCATAAACATTTCTTAATAATCCCTCAATAGCCTCAATCGTAAACGCCAGCTGACAGAAGTTATCACTAAATGAATTTTTTTTTGCAAATCTGATGACTGAGATGATGTAACCAGTAAATACTATAATATGAAACAAACCTGTGCACCATAATCTCCCCGGTCACCCTTTTCTCCTTTTTCTATTTTAATATCCTGTTGGAGTTTTTCCTCCTAAAATAAGTTTAATAATTAAGTTTAAGCTTTAAGCTTTGATTTAAGAAAAATAAACATTGTTGTTTTAGGTGCATTATTGTTCGTAGAATGTTTTTTCTTTGAAATTACAAATATATCTAAATAATAATAATAATGCATACATACAAAACAAATGTACTAATATTATAAAGATAATATAAATTTATTGATCATGTGCTTAAAGCGTTTAACCTTAAATCCTACTAATATTATAAAAACCAAAGCTTGTGAGGATGTATGGATGTATAGATGTATAGATGTTTGTTACTCTGTCACACAAAAACTACTAAGTGGATTTTAATGAAGCTACAATAACATAGCTCATATATCAGAATAACATATAGGCTACTTTTTATTCCGATATAAAAGATACTGTTTAATTGGGATAAATTTGTTTTTGCTCTTCTAGAGGCGAGCCGAGCGAAGCGAGGGTGAGCCACTAGTTTAAATATTCTTACCGGTAGGTGAGGTGTTGGCGTTGGATTTGTCGGTACAGATTCTATACCTACTGAAAAAAAAACATTATTGCATTATCTTTAGGTACATTTAACCATAATCATTCATATGACGCAGTACGAAAAAAGATAGAAAAAGTCATGTTATATGTTTATAGGTACTATGATCATTTATATATAGAATTCGAAAATATAATAAGAATAATTTATTTTGTAGCTCTTCTGCCTTTATTTTGACTTTCATTGATGTGTGTACGAGAATAGAGGCAACTTACTTGTTGGTGATAGCCTGTTAATAGGCGCACTATATTTGGTATCGGAGATTTTCTGAAAAAATTAAGTACCATAATATACGATAGAATATAAATAATATATTAAATATTTTTAAATAAAAAAGAATGGCAAATATTACTTACAATTTTCATGTTACATGTGTCTGAAACAAACATTTTTATTATGTAGTTACTTTATTCTACTCATTTTATAAAACGAGGCTAAAATACGAGGTTAAATATGTATATGTAAATAGCATTAACTTTGGTAGGCCTATATGTATAAATCCCCCCCCCCCCAACGTGCGTTCACCTTGTCGTGGTGGGGGGGCTCAGTAGTGCCCGGCAACCCAAGCGGGCGCGAAGCTAAGAAACGCACAGGGAGGTTGCCCACTTCGGTGGGCGGTGGGAGGTGGCCCTCTTCGGAGGGCGGTGTACCTTGCGGGTTGCTCCTGGTACTTCTCTGATAGCAGAGTGGACCTTGGAGCAACCCCATGGTTGTGGTGGTCTGCTTTGGCAGACCTGCCGTCGGGGCGTCGTAGTTGAATGCATAAGCGATCCTGCGACGCCCCATTAAGACGGGGGAAGGTTTTGTTGGGTTTTAGTGGGTAGTACTGGCTGTATTACGCCGGTGAGTCCCACACGTCGTGCGTAAATGCATTTCCCAACGTTAAAAAAAAAGGCCAAATTCAAATTCAAGGTACAAATCTAAAACAATTTTTGTCACATTTCTTTTTTTTTCATCGGTAAATTAGCACAAAAATTATCATTGATGTATATATAATGCGTATATGAAGTTTTAGATTGAAAATAAAAATAAAATAAAAAAGTCCCTTTACTTCTTTAGACACATAATACTAGAACGAGTAAATGAAAACAAAACTGAACTATCTACTATATGTACATATATTATGTATATGTAAAAAAATTACGAACGAATATTTAAGAAAAATGTGTTCGAACTACCTACTTGAAATATAACACTGAATAGTCTTGTAAAAACAACGACAACGACAATATAAAATATTTACATTTAAAATGAATAAAAATAAACTAATAAGGAATATACGTCTTTTTTATTTTTTTATAAATAGCTAACATCGTTACATAATTGTAAAAAAAATATCCAGCTCCAAAAGAAAACTAAAATTTAGTTTTTTTTAATATCATACCGAAACGGATAATTTAAACTCTCGCAATTTGGCGCGCTTGGTGTGACGTCACAATATGATATACACAGAAAAATGACGACTCGATTTGTAGCGACAAAATCTCTAAACGCTCGGTACTGTTATGAATTATGTTATACTTAGACGTCATGTTCGGTGTGACCTCGGTAAATATGCATTACATTACCGTGGTGTGACCAATGGCGTTCCTTTCAAGTACTTGGAATTTAAAAAAAATTACATTAAAAATAAAAATACAGGTTTAATTCAAAAGCATTAAAGGCTATAAACAAAAATCATCTTTATTTAAATAACTCGCTTATTCCCTATAGAATAACTACAATGTATTCATATAGCATCATATTCACTTACCCAGATTAGCATTTATAAGAGCTTGAAAATTCTGTAACAATAAAATACTTATGTTAGCTATTTATCTAATAGCTATGTTAATTTGATAAATTAAATATATTTTATAGTTTTATTGCGCGTACGTTTTATAGCTTTTTAAATAATCAAAATATCTACAATTATTACATTCAATTTTTTTATCCCTTTTTAAGAAATAATTAAGTATCTATTGAATATGATTTTTTTCAATAACACTCATCTGAGATTAAATAAAAAAAAATGTTTTAAGTAAAGTAAGTACTAAAGAAGGGATACTTTACATACCCGTACATCGAATCCAGAAGATATAGGATCTGAAAATAAAATAAATTTAATAAGTATAATATAATAATAAATTTAATAATTAAGCTTATTTATGTCTGTATGTATATATATGTATGTATATACATTATACATACATACATATATATACATATATATGTATGTATGTAGATTTCTGTTTATGTATATAATATGCGTATATTAGGTATCTATTAAATATGTATTTATTATTAGCTATTTTGAAACGAGTGCGTCCATCCATCTGTTCTCTTACGTTTATACCCTAAGGTTACTGGAAGAGACCGCTCACTTAACGGTAGGGCAGTCTATTGTGCCATTTTTTTAATTACTTTGTTTGTCTTTTAACTTTAAAAAGTACTTTAGTATCAAATGATGTTAAAAGTCATTATATATTACACCTAAGTTGGGATTTTCCCTGGACATATTATAATATAAGGGAAAATAACATACACAAATACAAATGGCCAATCATTATAAATTGTGGTTCAGGATGTTAAATTGGCTAGCACATGAATACTAGTCAAATTGGAATACCAAAAACACTGTATTTCCTCATACTGTAATAATAATTATTACATCTAACATAGAATTCATAATAATTAGTCTATAGGTATAATATTATGATTCTAACATCTCTTTAATTTCTACATTGAATTTTTAATTGTATTTTTAATTATTTTATAATTTAAATGTTTAAATTTTATTATTTTATAATTTAAAATATAAAATATTTTATAATATTATATTTTTAAAGAATAAAAAAAATAATTTAATATTTATTTTTACTAATTATTGCTTAACCTTTAATAAAATAAAAAAAAACTATGTATGACGAAACATGGCACAAATATTGCATTATAATAGTACCTACATACATGTATACCAATATAATAAACCTGAAGCTTACTCGTATATGATCTATTGTTTAAACGCTCTACTCTCTTGAACTATAGTCGGATTTGAAAAATCTTTTTTTTTTGAGGATGGTTGTAAGGCTTTCTATGAAAGTAGGGCAATTAATAATAAATAAAATATGCAAGCGGAACCGCAGAAAAAATATCCATATTGTAATTATTATGTAAAACTTACCCGCTAAATTTGTTTGGAGTGACCACACACTTAACATTAAAATGGACACAAAACGTCCTCGTCTATCCATAATTTCTGAAGAATGATTTATTGTAACAATAAATTCATGATTTATAACAGGATAATTATATCTTTTAATGGAATAATTAGTCATTAAATAATATTTATAATTACTCTCTGTGCTCTGTAAAATAAAGTGTTATCTATATATTAAGGAAAATTAAAATTTTCAAATATTACCTCTATCGAATCATTTTGTATCGACTTTTATAACTTAACTCTAACAAAATAAAGGGTGTAAATTTTTGAATATATTTTGAATATACATAAATCGCACTACTTCCGATATCGGCGTCAGCAAATAGAACTACGGACATGATAGTATTTGAATATAAAGCAACTTTTTAATCAACAAAACATCATACTTATAAATATCGAGATACGGTTCACTCTCCTCATCAATCTATGGCATTGATCAGACTCAAAAATAAAATCATCACAATCCCATGCAAAAGTTCTCTTAAAACTATCACCAATTGTGTTTAGGTAATTATTCTAGTTGAAATTAATATACAACAACATAAATTGAACCTTAAATACTTAATGCTTAAAGTTATTCTTACAAAATTAAAGCCCTCTCAAATGGTGCTCATTGTATGAGGACATTTTTTGTCGCTAATTGTGTATCTAGTGCTTTTCCGATCGATAGGGCGCGTGAAATGTCTATTATAAATGCTATTTACATATTTACTTAGTTTACGCTACGCCCCACGATTTTATTTTTGAGTGTGATCAATGTCCTGGTGAAGAGAGTGGTGTGATGACTGGTACCGAGGACCTACCTAATTATTTTTTAGCTTTTAGTACATTATCTACATCGTTATTATCTTCCTTTTCAATAAAATCGTTAATTTATTATTTTTATACCTATTTTATTTTAGCTTATTATAATATAATAGCAGCAGTCCCCTCTGTGGAGTAGACCTTCTCTAAACTTTTCCATACTTCTCTCTCTTTCGCCTTTTGTATTCAGTCCGATCTAGATACTTGACTAAAGTGATTGCGGTATGATAGGTGAAATCAAAGTAAAATTTAGCAACGCGCAGTTTTCTTAGAGGATAAGGAAAATTTTCATGAAATTCGCGTTATAATCAGCAGACTAAACAAACATATCGTATTATACACCGACGTAAAGAAACATAAATGCAATCGAATTAAGTACTTACGTTATCTTTGTTTCGAAGACTATTTTATTTATTTATTTATTTATACTTTATTGTACACCACAATCATAAAGTAAATACAAGTAAACACAATATAAAAAAAGAAACAGAAACAAAAGTGTGCACAAAAGGCGGTCTTATCGCTAATTAGCGATTTCTTCCAGACAACCTTTGGGTTAGGAAATATGGAAGACTATACAGGGTGGGTGGTGTAAATATTAAATATTATATACAATACATACCACAATACAACCTAATACTTAGAAATACTACATATATATCTCTATGTATATAATATATATCTATAAATTATACTAATACATATTTAAATTAAAATTAATATAAATCTTGTACAATGTCGACTTCTCATTTAGAAAAATGATCTAAAAAATGATTTTTTACAGATTTTTTAAATATTTGTAATGATTCGGAACGTTTTATGTGAACAGGCAAACTATTCCAGAGTTTGGTTGCTTGTACAGAGTAGGAGTACTCGAAGAATTTACTTAAATGTACAGGTATACTTAGCATCAAATTCTCTGAAGATCTTAACCTATTCGTATGAGATCCTAGAAATTCAAACTTCTCCTTTAAATAAGGCGGGTATGCTGGATTAAATAACACACAGTACAGAAGAGAGAGAATGTGTAGATTCCGGCGACATCGGATTGGGAGCCACTTGAGTTTTGTTCGATATTCAGAAATGTGGTCATATTTACGCAAATTAAATATGAAACGAATTGCAAGATTTTGGAGTCGCTCGAGTTTATTTAGATGGTCCTCAGTCAGATTAAGATAGCTTGCGTCTGCATAATCGAGAATCGGAAGGAGCAGAGAATTTGCTAACATAATTTTGGTAGGAATGGGCAGTATAGAACGAAGACGCCGCAAATAACCCAGTTTAAAGAATAATTTCCTACTCACTTCTTTCATTTGTACTGACCAAGATAGAGTTTGGTCTAAGTGAACGCCAAGATCTTTAACTGTAGAAGAATAAGGTATAACAACCCCATCATACTCTATCGCAGGTAAATTCAAGCCTTCATGCCTTGCAATCAGACTTGGGCTACCGATAATTATCACTTGTGACTTTCCAGGATTAATGTTAAGGCCGTATAGTTTGCTCCAGTAATAAATTGCTTGTAGATCTTTATTTATCGTGATGATGGTAGTGCTCAAATTTTCGAGTGTTGAATGGCGATAAATCTGAATATCGTCTGCATACATGTGATAGGAAGATGAAATATGTTGAGTAATAGAGTTAATAAAAATTGCGAAGAGTAAAGGAGATAATACGCCACCTTGAGGTACCCCAGCCTGGACGTCACACCATGAGGATACATTCTCCTCAATACGAACGCGCTGACGTCTGCCTTTGAGGTAACTCCGAAACCAATCTACCACGGATGGAGATATGTTAATAGAACACAGCAGTCTCAACAAAATATCATAGTCTACTGTGTTAAAAGCATTGCTGAAATCAAGAAGTGTCAGGATAGCTAAACGAATGTCGTCAGTAACTTTGATTAGCGCTGAGGTCGTACTATGACCAGGTCGGAAACCGGATTGGAAAGGGCTCAGGATAGAATGCTGATTAATGAATAGGGTAAGTTGTTGGTAGATTAGTTTTTCTAGGACTTTGGATAGGAATGGCAAAAAAAAATCAATCAATCAATCAAAATCTCTTAATAATTTATTATAACAAAAATATATTAAATGTACGTTTTGTAAGCTTAAAGTAGAATTTAGATCAAACAATAACGTATTATAATATTGAGGAGTTCTAGAATATGAGTAGTTATATTTTAATTAATAATTTCCTGTTATTATTATAATTAACTCGACATATCCATACTAATATTATAAATGTGAAAGTGTGTTTGTTTGTTTGCCCTTCTTTCACGTCGAAACGGAGTGATGAATTGGCGTATTTTTTTGTATGGAGATAGTTCGAGGTTGGAGCGCTGGAGAGTAACATAGGCTACTTTTTACTACGGGTGATTATCTAATCCCCACGGGAAAATACGTTATAATACAATCCAAAAAAATATTTAAAATCAGAATTACTTGAAACTTGGTATTATTACTCTTCAATAAAATTAAATTAATACGTGTTTTAGCATTTTTCGAAATCCATCCCATACCATCCATATAAAAGAGTAAAATAGGGGATGAGAGATTCTATGAAACTACCTGTTTAGACACTTTTTTGTAGTTTAACGCGAGCGAAGCCACGGCTTATATTATGTATTATGAGTAATAAGAGAATTATCCATGGGTATTCCTTATACGAAAATTTACTTCCTATAGTAATAAATTTTGTTTCTCTTATCTATAGTAATATTGTAAAGAGGAACATTGTTAACAATAAGTACCTGGGCTACTGAGCTTCGCTCGGAGTTTTTAGCTTAAAGTACAATTTTATTTATTTAAGAAGAAACTAAAAACTTGAATAAATATTAAAAAAACGAGATTATATAGGTATATACAAGAATTGCTCATTGAAAAATATAAGATAAGGGTAAAAAGGGTTTGGAAACTTGCATGAAGTACCTACTTTATTTTAAAACCAGCATTAATAAAATATTTTACCATCCATGACCACACCAAATTTCATCAAAATCCCTCCAGTAGTTTTTCTGTGATGCGGTCAGACAGACAGACAGACAGACAGACAGACAAAAATTCTAAAAACTATAGATTCGGCCTCTGTATCGATAATAATGTCTATTTCAATAAGATTTTCCAAAAAATATTTAATGTACAAATTCGACTTACCTACAATTTTATTATATGTATAAATTACAGGTACCTACGCGGGCAGAGTCGCGTTTGTATCACGGTTAAATAATAATAATACATTGTTATTAGTGGTTTAGATAGTGCTTGTAGTAGTGGCTTATTTGGTGTATTTTACAATTAATTTAATATTTTTATTAACATATTATATCTTATATATTATACATACCTATAGGCTATTTAAATTCGCCCTCTATATCCAGTGATACCTACTGCTTGATGTCTAAACAGTACACAATAAGTATCTCTCTAATCGCAAATATCTGGAAACAACCCATCGGAATTAAAAAAAAGTATTCCCTATTCTTCCTCAATTTTCTTTTTAAATCAGAAGAGTAGATCCAGAGATAAGCACGTTTGTTCAAACAAATAAACAAACTTTTCAGCTTTTATATACTTAAGTATAAAATTGAGGTAAATAGGTTATCCAACATCACGCTCTTACTCATAGAAGTGGTACAATTATACATAAAAAAAAAACTAAATGAGCGGAGCCGCGGGCGAAAGCTTTACTAGCTTTAAACAAATTTTGGTAGAGTCAAAGTCTTACATAAAATATATTTAAGAAATACAATGTAAATATAATGTTGCAGAATAAAAAGTTAAACCTACATTGATATTAAGACTGTTTTTTTTTGAAAAATATACATACGCATGTGTTAGACATTTTTATAAACTTCCGACATCTATCGGGATAGCTTTAAACTTAGTTTTAATACTATGTAGTTCTACTTTTCCCTTATAATGGCATGACCAACACCATAAAACGTCATCATTACAGCAGATGGCGTTGACGGTCTGTAAAAAAATTAATTTTCATTTCTAACCGCTAACGTATTCTATCAACAATATGATCTGGATATATGGATCTAGATATATGACTTGATGATAAACTTATTATATACTAGCATTGCCAGCGGCTCCGCCCGCGTTCAGATGACCAATAACCAAATTCTTAGGCTTTACATATTAGTATATTCTTACATTGCAATTGTTGTATTTTTTCTCAGAAATGAGATATTTTCCCGCGATAAAAATTATCCTATAT